ATCCCCACCTCACTGCATGAGCCAGACATTCAACTCAGGCACACATGCACTCACTCACACACACAAACATGCTAAGATACACACACATATCCAAATACACACAAGTACACAAAAAGGCACACACGTCAGGGGCACTGTCAAGGCTGTAAAGATTTTCCTTCAGACGTCTTCCCCCTGGCATGGTGAGAGACCCTGCCTGCACGCAAGCCTAACCCCCCCCTTCCTCCCCCTTTCTCTGTCCCTCCTCTCTATCCACTACTTCAAAAGCCCCATGACACCCAGCTTCAAGTTAAAGGAGAGAGGGATCCGAAGATAAAGACTACCTCTCATCCCCCCACCCCTCGCATTCTGAGACTCCCTCCCAACACTCAAACCCCAGGCTACCTCTCTCTTCTCCCCACCTCTCTCTCGCTCTCCAGCTCTCCGTAATTGGGGGATCGATTAGTATTGTCCTTAACCATCCTTAACCTTGGCGGTGTGCGCTGGCTTTGGAGCAGGGCAGAGCTGTGTTTGTGGATAAGGAGGGTGGAGGTGCCGCACTTGTGGTTTGTGAGGATCAAGTGCTAGGTTAAAACTGTGTGGGGAGGGGATAGTAACCACTTTGTTTTCTGTATCATTCAGTGGTTGAGAAAATGTGATAACCTGCTATTGTTAAAATTGCAATAAATATTTTGTAGTCTTCTTTTTTTGGTTATTTGCAGAGAGATTTCTGCTGCCACCCCAATCCAATTGAAGTAAGCATTGGAACATACATTGAACACATACAGTAGATCACTTGCAAGAAACAGTGTCCCGGTCACTCTTAATAATGCACAGAACATACTGTCAACAGTTTTCATTGGGAGATTTATTTAGTAGAAAGTATTTCTAATTAAAAATGTTTACATTAGGGCCTGTAGATTATCCAAAGTAAGATGCTTATTGTCTCTGAAAAGCAGATTTACATTGTCATTTACAATTACATTTTTCAATACTGCAGGTCACACAAGATGTTACACATATACTGTATGGGATGGTGGCTGAAATCTAAAGGATGGATATTCTAAAGCATGGGCTACTAACAGCAAAAATACGAATAGGTCAAAAATAAATTGTTGTAAATTAGTGTATAGATATCTTTTTAAGGGAACAAAAGATAAATGATAAATTCCCCCAGATAAATGTAACAATTAAAAAACTCCTTTAATCTCAAGTTTTACTCTTGCTATAACTGACTGTCACGAACAATACTTATTTGAAATGTTAAATATAGTACAGCATTAATTAAACATTAAATAACCAGAACAGAAAATCTCCACCTGAGTTAAACGTTTTTATTCTATAAAATGTGTGATAACTAAACTTGTAGAACAAAGAACCATTGTGTTGCACCCCTTCTTAACCAGGCTTCACTTTTACTCTCAGTTACTATATATCGGGGTCAATGTCAAACCCTGCAGCTGTGTGACCACACAGCACTCCACATCCAGCTCCCCCCATTCCTAAAATGACTCTTGGTTAGCGGACCTCCAGGGTCATTAACTTTAGAGATGGCGTGTCGGGCAACAGGATGGCCTATGCGAGAAGTCACATGAATTATGAGGCTTTTGACAATAGAGAAATGCCTGTCTATATCTTTAAAATCAGAAGGTCGCCCATTGCCCACCCCTGAGCCCTGCCACTGCATCCCGGCGTAAGAGTCCCGTTGCTGGGGGGAATGAAAGGAGAGCTTGAGGAGGAACAGTGGCTCGTCTGTACTTGGGTCGCACAGTCAGATAGGGGTCCCGGAACTGCGCACACAGTGTTTTGACCCCTGGGCTCTCCTCAACGACCTCCACCCCCTCCGCTTATGGACGTTGGGCCTGAGGGTCCCGATACACGCACACTCTCTCAGCGCTGTGACGCAGTGGCAGAGGGCAGGGGAGGGGGGGAGGAAGGCGTGAGGAAGGAGGGAGGGAGAGTTGGCCTAGGACGTCAATCACTCTTTTACTGGGTACAACTCAATTCTGACATGAATGGTCAACATTGGAATGCCTCTGAAGGACCTTGCATGTCCGTGTGCAGATGTGTATGTTAAAATCCTCACTTCATATGTTGGAAAGACCCCATAAAATATATCTATAAAAGCACAAACTAATTATTTATTTTCTCCGCCGTTCAGGGAGAGTAGACAAATTCATCTTCTGTTTTTAACATCCGTGATTCTGAGTGTATTACAGTATTGCAATACTAGATGGTAGAGTGTTTGTCTACCACTTTCAAATCAAAACTGCTCAACAAGTTGAACTTCTGCTCAAAGATTGTAGGTCAACTTTTTGAGAGACTCTACGGATCAGCCTACCATAACTACATATTGAGGTTGGCCAACATCATTATCTCTGACCCCAACCATAACAGCGAATATTAATTGTGTTACATCAAATTGGAGACACTGGGTCCCACAATTTAATAAGGTTGGACTGAAGCATTTGTTTGTGCACCAGTCAATCCTTAAATTAAATACAGAGCTAAATCCCAGGTCAAATGTACATTAGAAGGTCTTTCTCTTCAGAGATTGTGATGTTTTGTTACATGTTTGATTCCTTGTATCTTTTCTTAAATATTTGTCTTTGTTGATGTTGCAAATGGAGCTGCTGTGCTGAAAGACACATTTAAGACTCGATCTGACAATAGAGTATTATCATATTGTATGTTTACTGGACACATTTCTACTACAATTAGAGAACAGCTGTTAGCTCTGTACCGAGTATTAAATGAGTGTAATCAGTCCAAGTGGACCCACCATCACTCTTTCCCAGTTTTGGCCCATCTTGAGGTGTTGGCTCACCTTTGGTCTGGTCAGCAGTGTTTGGGCCAAGGCCTCTGGTATCTCTCCTCCAGCCCCTCCACCTCTCACTGTGCCTGGTGACATTTCTGCCTGGCTCCCTCTGTTTCCTCTTCCCCCTCCAGTGGCTCCCAGGAGAGGCTGATGGATGGGCTCTGTTTATGAAGCTGCTGCCACCACAGTGATCAATCAAACCTGGGCTGCTGTGATCTGCTGCTGGACGCCAGGTCCTCAGTCTATTTCACACTACAGGCTGTAGAAACCACACATACAGTTTGTTAGTACTCACTACATGCAAATACAAAGCCACAAAGAGGTTGATGGCGAAAGACAGCACTATGAAAGATGTGGAAGGGGATAGATTTTGTGAATGCAAGTTGAGTGTGCTTGCCTCACCTGAAATATGGGGCTTTAGTGCAGGTACTTGACTCAACAAAGTTCAATTTTGAGGACAGGGACCTGGCGAGGACTGATCAGCAGGGGGATCAACAGAAGAGTTGGTCTTAGTGGCAAGCCAGGGATCAGCTAATCCCAGCTCCACCATGGCACTCTGATCCACACACACACACACACACACACACACACACACACACACACTTTACTGAGAAGTCTAATTAGCCAGAGACGATGAGCCTGTATGAGCTGGGTAGTCTTGTGAGAGCAGATGTGAGGAAGACATGGAAAATGATAGCCCACATAGGCCTTTATCGTGGAATACATTCTGATATGTCACAGTGGAAAAAGCACAGGTGTAAATGATTTAATACGTAATGGCTGAATCCCTTTTTGTACATGCTGGCTGACTGACTGTCACGGCTTAAAGGGACGCCTGAATGGAACAGAGCCGTCTTACATACTATTAGTGACACCTGCCATGACAAGTCGAAATATCTGCTGTAAAAAGGGCCTTTGGGAACAGGTGATGGTTAATACATTGGGTTATCTGATGACACATCACACCATAACAGACTGATGAGAATAACCTGTAGAGAAGGATGTAGCTGTAACAATAGTTACATTTGCCTCTCAAGGGTGTCTTTAACAGGTATTTTTGCATAAGCACAGCTGCAGCTAATACAATTAAAAATGCTAATTATGATTAAAGTGATCTAACGAGCGAGCATTGACAGTAGTATTGTTGTAATTATTAGTGCATGCTATCTGACAACTACATTTGTACTAGCTGCAGCTGTGTGTTACCCTGCTGTGACATGTGAAAATGCATTTTCTGAGGAGTTGCTGCATTTTATTTCAAGGGCTGCAACAAACAAATAAGCTAAACCTGTGCCTCCACCACTCAACTGATTTAGTTGTGCAGCAGACACCAACAACTTGGTGTTTCTGTGGATTTCTCGTAAAATGCTTAGATACAAATATCCAAGTTTATCACGAGGAAGTTTCCCTAAAATCACCAACAAACGGCCCAACATGAGTCAATTCAGAAAAGTTAATTTCATGGCGGCAAATAAACGTTAATCGCTCGCTTCCATCAGTTATACATTGTAAAGGCCTCTTCATCATGTCATTTACCAGTCCACCTTAATGAAAATACCCAACGAATATGACATTGACATGATACTTCCTATCTTTATGAGATGGTAGGACAACCTGAACATAGCTGACACACTCACAATAAGCTGTGAGATACTGGATGAGGCCAAAGTTTTGTTCTTCAGAGCAGAAGATGAATATATTTTTTATAGAACTTTTCGAAAAGTACATTGTGTTATGACAGGTGTGAAATGTGAATGAGGTTCAGCTCCTCGTGTTAATACCTACTGAACAAGAAAGTAGTTTGTGGCGCTTAAGTCGGTGACATCTAATTACAGAAAATGTCATATCCACATTTTAACTCTCAAGTCTACATTTTTTTTGCATGCTATAGACTTCCAGCTTTGTCTATTCCATATTCATATCCTGTGTCTTCAGCCATTGACAGTGATGAAGGCCACTAATGCCACCTACTGGTACAAGAACTAAATACACTCAACTGCAGTCTGACAGCTCAGCACATAACTTCCTCATTTCAAATTCAGCCTTAGGCCTCATAAACTAATTATGCTGTTGTCTCTAATTTCTCGACTTGTTCTAATAGCAACACATTAATAATAAAAAAGTAAAAGTCAACAAACTACTAACCCAAAAAAAGAGGTCAACCACAAGTTATTATGCACATTTGACAACAACTCACAACAAGTGTATGTTCTTTTGATATTTATTTGAAAGAAACTAAAAGTTGTAGATAAATATTTACAAAACTGCATTGCTGCAACATCTTTTAAGGAAATAAAAATGCTCCCATGTCTATGGTGTGATCTCGAAGTCCACTATTTCACCAATATCAGATCGGCAAAGTTGGTGATTTCTTCTCAGCATGACGAGAACATCCCACTCAGCGCTTCCTCTTGACATCAAACTTGTAGATAGCTGCAGCACTGTGAGTCTCCTTTTTTACCTTCACTTTCTTGTTCTTATCCTGGTGCACAGGGTTAAAAAGGAAAGGAAACGTGTTGATTTTTCAGTTGTACTGCGACAATGCTTGTTGTCATATAAGACACTGTTTCCTCACCTGTAGGTCCTTGCGGGTCTGAATCTTCTGGCCGATCACAAACATTTTCTTTTCTCTGTCTATCCTCTGGGAAAGGATCTTGTACTGGTGATTCCTCAGCTTGGCCAACTTCTACAGTTAGAATGAGGAGAGAACCATCAGTGGGTTTGAATGCACTTTGAACCTTAAATTGACAGCAATATGGTCACACACTAAATGAGGCTGATCTCCATGCATTATAGGCACAAACCATCATAGTGCGAGGCTCTACAGCTCCCTGGATGCTCTTTGTCTCCAGAGTTTTCAGAGTTGGTCTGTTGAACACTCTGTCCACCAGCTCAGGGACAGTGTTGAGGTGGTTTGCCAGATCGAATGACTGCACTGAGGAGACACAATAAAACGTTGAGTAAAACATTTAAACTTACTGTATCATTAATAACTATTAAATCCCAACAAGCCAGGGATGTGTGTTCACATTATAATTAACCAATGTGCATTAACATCTACCTTCTTTCTTGGAATCCACAAAGAATGTATGATGGTTTTTCTGTTTGCCGTCTGCCTCCAGAATATGGAGCTCTCCTTTCATCCTCTCAATTTTCTGAAATCAAATGATAAAAAACACAAAGATTTACAGTGGGCAACAACAGGAGCTCTATTTCAGGGAGGATTCCTTTATCAGTAGGAGGTTAGGTAATGGTTGGAGCGCATCTTTAATTTAGGCCCAATTCCAAACCACACCCTACCCACTGCACCTCCGTGATGGAGTGAACTCTGTCTGTAGTCACACTTGCAGCTTAACGAGGCTCCCTCCTTCCAGCTGGAGGGTGAAAATACAGCAGCAAGCTTTGGGACGAACTCCCCTCTCTCCGGCAGAAACAGGAAATGCAATCATTTTTCGTAACAACGGTTTCAAATCAGCATCTCTTGGATTCAAAAATAACAAAAATAAAACTCTAAAAATCTTTTCTGGCATATATTTTTTGTAAACATATTTCTGTTTTAAAATCTGATGCTTATAAGCTGCTTAGTTTTAGCAAATGTCCGTGTAAATATACATCACTTTTACCGTTTTCTAGACTAGACATGAGTAAATTATCCTAAATGTAAACAAATACGAGGTAACCATGAAGTTGTTAACATCTGTATGAAGATATTAAATAGCTCTTGTGGTGCAGTTTATCAGTGAATGTTGCCACGGAACTGTTTGTAAACAGCTTGTTTCCTGACGGACACACACAGCGTAATAAGCAGCAGGGGAAGTCAGGACCGATGCAGACTCGCTGTTTGAGGGCTTGATAGCCCACTCCCCCTCCACACTCGTTGGTTTGGAACAGCACTTAATGTGGCGGACCCTCCGCACGAACAGAGGGGTAGGGTGTTTTCAGTAGACAATCAAGTCCACTTTGATTGTGTTGTTGTGGCAAATCCACTTACCCTGGCCTCTGCCACCCTTTTCATCTCCACATATTTGATATCCTGCGTCCTCATCACTTTCTTCTGCTCCTCTGTTATCTCGTCCTCCTCACCTTCTTTTTTTGCTACATGAATTCCATCCTGTCAACACAAAATAAGCCATATGAAATACTTCAGCCACAGAGATCAGGGGAGATTTACATAGCGTAGCTATTTGTCTCGTCGTGTTGCTTTAATGGTGATCCTTATCTTACCTTCAGCTGGGTGTTGATCATTTTGTAGTAAAACTCATCTGGGTTCTTATCCAGAGCTTTCTTTCGCAGAGCAGAAAGAGTGTTTTGTTTCTTGTGGTAATCACTAAAAAACAGAGCAAAGCAAGCCATTACAACCATCTTACATTTCAAAATCCACATTCAAAGCATAGAAACAAAAGCATGTATCTTTTACGTGATACAACTTACACTGCACGGAGTTTGTAGTCCTTTTTCTTCTCCAGCAATCCCAAATGTTTCCTGAAACCAGGCTGTGTAAAACAAATTATACAGTTAAGACAAGGTATACATCACACTATTTATTACATAACACCACATTTATCAGGTTGGTTATGATATTTAGACATCTCTATAGGGCAACAGTAGTTCATAACATAGCAGCAGGCTAGGAAGCTAGCAAGTTAGCCAACAAAACACTGAAATGCTCACCTGAGATCTTTCATGGTGGTTTTTCTGTCGGGACTTCAACGCTTTCCTGAACGAAGACATTATGGCGAAAGTCGTCCGGCGTAATAAAGCTAAATAGTTTAGGAAAAGAAGATATGTGTCAGGTATGTATAACAACTAAAGGCTGAATCTCCCTGCTGCTTAGTGCTTCCTCCTGCTAGCTGCACACGTGGGTTCCTGCCTGTATCACAGCGAGTAGATTTTTATTTCCGTACCGCAGATTCGCAACTCCACTTACTTTGAAAATACCAAAGTAGTGATAAATCTTGACTGAACATGTATTAACAATAAAACAATGTTTTATTATTGTTTGGCATTTTACAAAACGCGTTCACATAATCATTTATTTGTTTCGATCTATTACAGTGCTGTGAATGTCATACTACGTGTTGTATGAGCGCGTAATAAACAGTAGAGGGTGCTGTTCACATTAAAATGCTATGTGATGTGAGCACCCTGTTGCACATTCCTGCTGTTTGAGCCTTGGTAGCACATTGAAGATGTATTGTGCAGCTGTTGGCAGTAATAAGGTAAATGTATTAAAGTGTTTGTACTTTACTTGAGTTTTCGATCGGATGCTAATTTATACAAATGCTATGTATTTCTACTACTATGGTGACTATTTACTTTATACTAACAAAAACAAGTGTATAAAATATGAACAGTTGTTATGGATTTAAAATAAAGCATACGTATACAATTAGTAGTTTGTTTCATTTTCATCAGGTAAAACAATTAAATGCATCTCACAGGTTTATGCATGAAGTTCGTTTTCAATGATAACTTTCTAGTAAAGTCAAGTTTATTTTTAGTAAAGTGAAGTTTTCAACGCAGGACATTTACTTTTAGTATTTGAATATTGTTTTATTCTGCTTTTACCTAATTTAAGGAAGTTCTTCTTCCACCATTTGTATTAGTTAGATAATTCATTTGAAAAGGAAGGTCACTCAGAGCACACCGAGTTCCACCAAGGTTTCCATTAATGAAATGAATGCATGTATCCGTCCGTGATTCAGATCTGCTTCAAAATTCAACTGGTTCTTTCTTTGAAAATGGTGAGATCCTCCATTTTTCATGAGACTCAGTCCAGTAGTATTCCTATAATCTTGCTGTCAATTAATCCAACAAACAAACCAAACAGAAAACACAACCTCTGTGGCGAAGGTTATAGAATAACATTTTAACCACTTAATCACCCAGTTTCCGTAATAATTGTTCTTATCTCATTACCTCATGTAATTGATTTGGAAAGACATTTATTTTGGCTTTGAATATTCAAGACCACAAATGATACATTATGTGGTTTAATGGCAAAGGGAAATGGGTTTAATTATATTCATCCAAGTATAAGACCAATGCAATTGGCATCTGCCATTTAGATGTTGTATACAAGCCAGACTTGGCCCAGGATCCACAGAACAAGTGAGGGTCATCACACAGTGCTGCTGACTAAATATTTGTTGGCTGCACTGTTCATACATGAAATCATTTTGGTTATTATAATAAAGGCCTGCATTTGCCAGAGCGCAGAGTTAACTCTAATTGGTAACAAGTTTCTGTTTTTCCAACATGGACATTTATTGCATGTTTCCGTTCGGGTTCCAGACTGTTTTGATTTATGTCCAGACCAATGAGACTAAAGGAGATTACATTGAATCTCTGTAATCTTACTAGCAAATTATTCACAAACTTTTCTATATTTTGAGAGGAAAAAAAGTGCTGCAGGAACAAAGACAACAAGGGGGTCATCCAATAGGCTATCCATTTCCAGACATGATGTTTTGGGTAGTGGGTAGACAGAGAGAAAGCTGTAATGGCACCAGTCCCCTAATCTCACCCAGACTCCCAACTTGTTGTGGACATGAGAAGTAGCCTTTAGGACAGAGAGAGATATTCCAGGAAACAGTAATTTCCCTCAATGGCAGCTCACTATTCCCTCACCAACCGCAAGGAATTTGTTTTATATGTGTGAGATTTGCCCGGCATGCAGATTGTTTTGCGGATGATTAGACCTATGAATGGGGTCAGTGTTTCCACATTATGTCACTGGCTTGTTTATCAGTCTGATGGCTAATGACACCGATCCCTGTGAAGATTTCAGCCCAAGGCCCGACTGGTCCACTCAGCCACGAACGTGTTTAACAAGGCAAACACAGGCGGCAGCCAGGATTTATGGGTTAAAATGTCTGCGTTCTGACTTACTTGGCTCCATGCTGTTTAATTCATTGGAGTATTTATCATTACAAGTGAAATGCCTGGTGAGCCATGACAGGGGTAAATACTACTTTGGAAATCAGAAGCTGATGCAAGAGCAGGAGGACAAGAGGCTGTGGGTTGGTTCAGGGTCAGCAATGGAGGAATGCCCTTGTGGGGCACATGCAGAACCGTTTGGTTTTCTTATATGACCCTGTAAAAATAACATTGCTGACATATTGTAAGACTGCTGCACTTGGGCTGAGCTCAGGACTTTGGTATGTCTCCTCTGACCATGGTTGTTCCTCATCTGACGCCAGGCTAGCCCAGTTTAAAAATGCATGACCCAGAAGTTCCCTTCCTCTTAATTTAGCTTCATCTCTTAAAATTATCAAAGGTAGCATGATAACATTATACAGATTAAAAAGTCATCTGGTTGATAAATTGTTGTTGGAAGAGGAGGAATGTATGTAAAACTACTCGTTTTATGCTACTTTATAGTTGTAACCAACTACATTCAGACTGAAATATTGCACTTCCTCCTCCAGTGCTTTAAATGACAGCTAGAGTTATCATATCTGTTATATTTAAAATGTACAATAAGAAACATATATGCTTATTATATACTATGCAAAGAAAAGTCCTTTCTTGTGTCTCCTCTAAACCGAACTCAGATGAAGTAGCCAGTAGAAATTACCTCCACCTTGAGCAGCAATGAAGTCCTTGCATTACGATGCTTCAGTATTAACAATGTGCCTTTACTTGGAATATTTGTATTCTCATTATTGGACATTCCTACCTCAAATAATCCCCTACTCGTTGCCCAAGCCATATACTAGTAGGTGGTGCACTCCTGGGTGGGATTCTCACCATAACCACAAACTCTTGTAAAACAAAAATGTCTACAATTAAGTGCCAATACGGTGCTTATTTTCTCTGCTGGAGTTTTTTTCATACATTGTGGAATGACTTGTTTTATACTCCATCCGAGACAATCACAGCAATGCAGTGGCAACAATTGGATGTGTTTCAGATGAGGAAAATCATGCTTTGTCTGTACTGTAAAAAAAGCTGTTATCGCCAATACCATCAAAAGGATCTTCCAGGTAATGGTGTTTTGCTGGTTTGTTTTGATTGTATTTTTAAAAGCTAGCACATGATGTCTCTCTACATATTCCTTATAAGCTAAAGCTATAAAAAGACTATTTCTACACGCCATTATGTAGGCGAGGAAAACAGACATATTCTGAACAAGCCATACCTACTTACTGTGGGACTTTTAACTATTTTATTGCCTCATTAGTGTGCTGCCATGATGCTCATTAGAGTTAATTTCTCTCCAAAACCACACATCCAAGAAAAGAGTTGAAGGTTTACAATTTAATTTGAGTTTCAGTAAGCAGCATGACAGTCACTTGAGAGGTCATCACCTCTGGCTTCAAAAGGTAAAAGTATGCTTAAAATTGAATTACATGGTGTTTTTCGCCTAGGGTTGAAGATATCTTAAACACAGTTACGTTTCACATCAATCTGTTCAATTTTCACTTTGAAATCTTGTATATGTTTTCTTCAGTGAAAACATTCTCACTTTGTACTGATTACTTAGATATGTAACCCCTATTGCCCTTTTAACTTGTTTTTCAAGACTAAAACAGAGAGATATTTCATGAATTAGGTAAAAAGAGTTACACTTAACCAAGTACTGTAAACGGAAACAGTGAGGCCATTTGTCCTATGATGAATTGACAAGCATCTATCCTCTAATTTGTTGCACGCGGTCTGACAAGACCACGCCTCAGAGTGTAAAATTAGGATTTATAATTAAGGGTTTGTGAGGACTACAGGGTCACAGGACCATGAAAGACAAGGGTCACATGTTTGGAGGTCTTCTATGTTTATTGGGTTATTGCATATGTAAGCCTTCGCAACTGCTTAAATTGCATTTCCAGAAAAATAACTAACAATTACATAAGAGTGTTAAAATGCTTTTAATTGAGTGCTACACATAATTTTAACAGCTGTTAAACAATGGTAATCTTTAACATGTAAACCGTTGAACTATTGCAAATAACCAATTGGGTCCATTAAGCAGCGTCCACACGGCGGGTGCGTTGAAGCTTGCCGGTGCCCCCGCGGTTTGATTGGCTAGAGCTTGTACTGGCATATGATTCGATTGGCTGACGCTTCCGTCGAAGCTTCAAAAGTTGAACATTGTTCAACTTTTGCAACGCGAGCAAAGCGAAGCGACGGAACCACAATACAGTTCGGCAAAGCGTGACGTCACCCCATTCAAAGTGAATGGGCAGAAGCGTTGAAGCTTCAACGCACGCCACCGTGTGGACGGGCCTTTTTAC